GATATTTTCTTCTATATATATATATATATGTAGGATGATTGCGGATGTTGGGTTTCCTCCGTGTGCAGAACAGCCTTTGTCGAGTTGTGACTTATTTAATTGTCACTCGCCATAAATGATGGATGACATTTAATCGGGTCATATGGGGGGGGGTATAAAGGTGTAGTTCTATGCTCGGGGCGGTTTCCAAGGCTTAGAGAAGTATTGCTATCTCATCAATCTCGTCGCTATCTCAGCAATATCTTGCATCATTGCAATATTACAATATCAATCTCATTGCTACCTCAGCACTATGTTGCATTACTACTATTTTGCAATATATCGATCTCATTGCTATCTCGGCAATATCTCACATTACTGCTCCCTTGTATCATCGCCATCTTGCAATATCAATCTCATTTATATCTCGGCAATATCTCGCATTACTGCTACCTTGCAATATCAATCTCATTGCTATCTCGGTAATATCTCACATTACTGCTATCTTGCATCATTGCTATCTTGCAATATCAATCTCATTTCTATCTCGGCAATGTCTTGCATTACTGCTATCTTGCACTATATGGATCTCATTGCTATCTCGGTAATATCTCACATTACTGCTACCTTGCATCATTGCTATCTTGCAATATCAATTTCATTTCTATCTCGACAATGTGTTGCATTACTGCTATCTTGCACTATACCGATCTCATTGCTATCTCGACAATATCTCGCATTACTGCTACGTTGCAATATCGATCTCATTGCTATCTCGACAATGCATCATTGCTCATCTCTGCAATGAACGGCAGGTTTCGACTTGTGGTCTCACCAGCTGCTTCTAAACTGCATGTGTTTCGTCTCGACGAAGGATACTGTGAGTATTGCCGGTCTGACGCGATTCGAATTTCTCACGCCCAAGTTCGATATTTCAACTCTAACAGTTGCGACTTTATTTCGTTTAATTTAGCAACCCACTTTATTCTACTGTGCACTATCATTTCTGCTTATAATTATCACAAATAAACCACCGATTTTCATCCGGCACAACGTTTAAAATCAGGCGCGTGTATATGCTACCGTGGTATATGCTACGCAATATGAAATATAGACAGTGGTCCAGATGTGAGCTAAAGTTAGGAAGCGTAAAGGTGCAAGGGGTAAGGGGGTTACAACCTAATAAACATAAACATAAAGCTTAATAAACATAAACGTAAAACATAACCATAACCATATAGGCATAAAACATGACCGATAAAAATAAACATAAACCTAATAAACACAATCAAGGGGTTTATTTTATATACGTATTTAGAGCATAAATGAAGCTATTTTTTTGCCCATAAGCCCGTTTGCACTTGTTTGACCCTATTAGGATTAAGTGATCCAGACCACCAAGATCCATTCCAAACAGACACGCCCGTAGAGAATTATGGCACATTAAAAACTCTCTCTCTGCCTCCTACTCTCTTTCTCTCTCTCTCTCTCTCTCTCTCTCTTGTCTCTCTCTCTCCTCTCTCTCTCTCTCTCCTCTCCCCTCTCTCATCTCCCTCTCTCTCTTCTCTCTCTTTTTCTCTCTCTCTCTCTCTCTCTCTCTCTCTCTCTTTCTCTCTCATCTGCTCTCTCTCCTCTCTCTCTCTTTCTTGTCTCTTTCTCTCTCTTTTCTCTCTCTCTATCTCTCTCTCTCTTTCTCTCTCTATATATATATAGGCGATACCGTACTAGTCAGCCCTTCAGGGGTATATATATATACCTCCCTCCGTATATTGATGTCTGGAACGTTTACTC